TTAGATAGAATCTAGATGATACTAGATCTATAAATAATATAATTAATATTATATTAGATATATAATATTAATACTTACTAATAGATTTATAGATAATTGTCTTTTAATAGACTACTGAGTATAAACTCTTCTACCTAGATTCCTAGATCATCAACTAGATCTAGATCTATAGCTAGATTCTAGTCTCTAGATTTAGAATTAATTTCTAAAGATTAGTCTAGCAGACTCTAGTCTAGCACTAGACTAGATTAACTAGTCTGACTAGTTAGTTCTAGTAACTATAGACTATAGACAAGTATAGTCTGAGTATAGAGTCAAGAGTGCTTACCTAAACTTTGGTGAGTCTTTTAGGCATTCTTTAAAATCAACGGTATGTTTCATTATTTATCGTGGAGCAGTTGATCCCCTCTGGTTAAAAAAAAAAGTCAATAATCCTGTCAATTGAATGTTATAATCCAACTGTTACCAATTCAGAAATAAACATTACTTTCAATACAATACATTTTTACTCCACCTACTTCCATTTACACAGTGTAAGTGTTAGTTCCGGAGGACTTGAAAATAAAAGAGTACTCTCCCTTACACTACACTCCATCTTTCAATCTAGTCTAGATCGAATCTTGAATTTAACTGGACCTTTGGAATTTAGATCTAGATCTATATACTCTAGGTCTCTTTTTCTATTATTATTATTTGATTCGAGGAAGCAAGTGTATGCTTGAAAAGCTATGCTTACTTAAGCTATCGACTTGATCACCATCAATACCGGTATATGAAAATAATTTCAGAGACAAAATAAATTGAACGAATACTAGAAAAGTCTAATACGAGTATTACTAGAGCCTACGGAATTCCAGCTACCGTCGCCTCAGCATGGCGCCTCCGTGGAAACGTCCGCCAAGGGAGTCGGATAGGCTAAGAACGGTAGCGCACATAGCTCTCAGTGGGCTACCACACGTACGGTCGAGAGATTGTACACTGCACGTGGTAGGGATGTAACAAAGGCTCGCTAACCCGTCCAACCCCCCATCGATTCGTTCCCTAACGGGGGCCATACGCGCTGTGATGAACCCTCGCACGGGTTCGGTGGGACATTATAGGCATACGAAAGGCCCCCACGCGGGTCGGCCTCCGGCCTCGCACGGGAGAGGGAACTCGTGCGGGGCTCAAGGGGGTCGTGTCTAGCGACATACCGGACGTGAATATATGTTCGTTTCGGATAAGGCGGGATTTCGGACAGAGGGATTGGTGAAGAGCCGATGCCTCATCCTGGCCATGGATAAAAGCCTTTCCTTGGTCAAGAGGTCCTTTAATAGGGAACTGGACGTTCTCGGACCTTCAGGACATCTGTATCAGGCCTACTAGTAGAGTTATAAGTAGATCTAGAGATAAATTGAAAAAGTTAATATAGACTATAGATCTAGGTCTAAAACAAATAGGTCGACAACAACTACACCCAGAATCTATGGAGTTTTAAATAAAGTTCATTCTTGCATTCTCAATCACAGTCTTTAAAAAAAATATATAATAACAATGAAAAGGCTAGTCTTCGAGTCCAAAGATTAGTGAGGAATGCAGTATTTCCCGTGGCTGCGCAGCCCCAGCTGAGACCTACATATTTTGAACTCATAACTAGTCACTTAAGTCCATAAATGGTATATATATATAATATTTATTTTAAAAAAAAAGAAATTACATATAGATCTACGTAACTAAGCACGTTATATTCCATGACGTATCCAAGAGAATTTACAGCTTTAAACTCCTTCCAATAATAATTTAAAAAATAAAGAAAGAAAGAAAAACTACAGTCAACAGATATTCTATGAACGTATTAAAACTAAAGCAAAACTATAGTTATCCTCATCGTCGAGCATATAGCAATAGTTTGTCACTTGCTGGAAGCTTTAATAAAGTAAATGTAGGCATACAAGAATTCAAGCCACAGAATTAAAAAAAACAAGTAAAGTATATTTCCGTCATTTGAGGTTCAACCCTACCTCAAATTAATAAATCGAAGAGTAGCAGGATGTTGCACTGCGAGACACCTCAGATTTTGCATCTTTTTAGTTTCAAATACAGGAAATAACGCTTGGCTCCGGGGCTCCCTGGATCATTCCCGCCCCCTCTTCATTAACTCTCTATGTCAACTGTGTTACATTCATACCGTATGTGTATTTATGTATTTTGTGTGTTTGTTTCCTTGTTCTACTATTCAGTGTGTCCACGTGTCTGTCTGAAGTAGGCTATGTTCTAGTATGTATGTCTGTCTTTTAATGTTAGTTTATCATCTTCTTGTTCATGTCAATAAAATGGAGTTGTATCGTGAACATCATTGTTGTAATTAAATCTTATCTTATCTTATATAATACAGACGTTACTTCAAAAAAGAAGATGATTACGTCCTACGCGTCATGCATATTAACCAATGACTTAAATTCTGCCAAGTCACTGGTTTTTCTGGCTAGCTCAGGCAACCCATTCCATGCTCTAATAGCACTAGGGAAGAAGGAGTATTTGTACAAATTTGTCCTAGCATATGGGACGAGAAATGTGCCTTTATTTTTGTGTCTTGCAATCTTAATTGATAATATAACAAATATAGTGTATTTCACTGCCAGCAAGAGAATAAGCCATTAAATGCTTCTCTCGCAACAAAGGTGTTTCCCATAGGATTACTAGCTAGTAGACCACGTAGGGCCGTAGGCTATTTATAGCGCACTTGTAGAGGCCTACACACTCACTGGCTTTACATCAAGACTTCTATTCTAACGTAGATAACTGGACTTCTTTCCTACCCTTGATAGCTGGACTTAGTGTAACAATATTGATGTCAAACATGCAGGTGTGTGTATACTGTCTGATCTTATTATCTTAGAGATCTGTAAGGGGACCATCCATGGCAGACTGTCTGGCTGTGATAATTAGTGTTGTTGATAGCCTAGTTGTTACAGTGTATGAGTGTTTGTATTTGAATGTGCAAGGTTGAAAACTTTATTATTACTTAATAACTTACTATCTATGTAAAGACTAGTTGTTTATTAATACATTTAGCTACTATTAGTTACATAACAATGAGTTATGTTGCAGATGAAAGATAAGATACACCAGGAAAATTATGTGATTATATTTAGTGCACATGGTTGATTTAAATGGCATTTAGACAAAACGGCCGTGCAGAGGCGACTCCACACATTTACATCTATATGGAACAATCAGATAATCAAACATTAGATAGGAACACGTTCAAGTGGGGGCCCGTTGGGGATTTTCAAATTCTCCCACCCTAGCTACGCCACTGTCTACGTAATAAAAAAAAATTTCTGGAAGATGTATTTTATAAATTTTTTTACAAAATTGGCTAAAATGTGGCTACTCAGATTTCAGAGGGGTGCATGTACATATTATATGGTTGGCCATCAACTCCTTATACGCCTAGCTAGGCTAGTCTACTAGACCTACTACATTAACCAATGGAAGCACTAATTGTTGAGTTGCTATTTAGAAGTTAATTGATTTGATAGTGCAAACAAAATGGCTATAGAATTTTGCTATTCAGAATCCGGGTTTGCCCCCTCCCCCTGACGGCGCCCATGATTACCACTGCGATGTCGATTATAAAAATGACTCAATTGTTCTAGGGTTACATTAATTGATAACAGGCTAAATATTCGTATTTCATAAATTATGAACTACAAGTCAAAGGCCTTTTAAAATATATGCTAATTAAATTCACGATTGACTTAATTCCCTGAGCAGTTTAATTCTTTTAGGTAGTCCATGGAGTTCAGTTCTATGGGAAGTCGCGATTACCATTTTTAGTGGACGTCTCATCACGAACTTGGCACGTAGTAACTGTTAATAGTAAACATTTGGAAAAGAAGAGAATCTAAAAATAAACATTTAGCTCTCTTCATCAACACCACGCGCTTGTGACTCAAAGTGGATTTGGATTTGAAAGGAGTCACTTTTTTTCGGTTGTTCGGCAAGTAGAATACACAACTCCGTCGTCTGCGTCTCATTTAGATTTAGAATGAAATGCTCTTCCAGACGATTCTTAGAAGTGTAGGCTGAATACTACTGATAAGAAACTCGAACTACCTGTGAAAAATCGTTTTAAAAAAAAATAAAATAATCTTATATTATGTGTAATTGTAGGCCCATCAATTAGTTTGCATCAGTCATGTCATTATATGGATTGACCTCAACTTCAATAAATCTGTGCTATTAGAATTTTTTTGTACCAATTGTTTTTGTTTGTCTTTCTCAATGCGCTATGATCTTATCACTTTGTCTGGACCAGTAGTGTAAGGGGGATGGAAAGAGGTATCTTGGTGAATGTTGACATGATCGTTTATGCATATAACATTTTTCATTGTGGGGGGGGGGGGAAGTGTTAGTCTTCAAGGGGACTAATTCAACTTATACCTCCACACCTATTAAGTACAATTTCTTTCCCGTGTTCGACATACCAAACAAAATAATTATCAATAGATAATAAACTAACTGTTTTTTTTTTTAAATTGATTCTTGTGTTGTCAGGTAAAAGAAATAATTGTGCAAAATTTCGGCTTAATCAGAGATTGGGTGTGGCAGAAATAACCTGTACAAACTTAAACAGACAATGTTCGTTTAAAAAATAGTATAGATTTAAAACAAAAATATACAGAACTGTTACATATTAGTAGCTTTAACTCTGAAAAATACACAAATGAGCACCATTTAGTTGAAATGTATGTATGAATTGTAACATCACTAAATTGTATGTATTGTATTACCGTAATAGGTTTTCTTTTTATAAATAAAAATGCTTGCATAATTGATTTTAATTTTTAAAACAAAATGCTAATTTTCAAAATACATTGCAAGCTGCCAAATATTTTAAATTGCATTTCTATAGCATTTAAGGTTTCAGACATCCAAAAGTAAGACAGACAGACCATACTGAACTAACCGTGGCATTTCCAATATATGGGGGCCGCAAAATACAAAACAAAACATTTGAATAGACTTTTTATTAGAAGTATAATCAAAATGGCAAGAAGATCTTAATCCATGTACATGAATAAATAGATGCATAGAAAGAGATACAATAAAGAGTCACAAATATTGAAGGAATTCAATCAAATAATACACTATGAAAGTGACACTCTGGTCACATCCTTTAAAGAAAAAAAAAAAAGGAAAGCAATGTAGCTTACAGATCTGCATAAGGAGAATTATAAATATTACTGATTTAAAAAAAATAATTGTTACAAAAAATACTGAAGATAATAAATCTCAATTCCATTATTCAACAAAGTAAAAGACAAAAGACAGAACAAGAAGATTAGGAAAGTAGCAGATCTGGTTTCAATTGTATAAAGATCTATTTAAATTGAGCTGGTGTAAATCAATATAGCAGTGAAAGGAATAAGAAGCTCACACAATCTCCATGTTACTAGAAATACAAGAAGTTTTCGCATTTGATGGTGATCAATGCCAATTATGATATTAACAAAAGCATACAATCAAATAGCAAAATCATTTTGAACCTAATGTTTGCTGCATACAATATTATAGACAATTTTTTCTATTAAAAATTGTCATTGGCCTTTTTTTTAAAAAAAAAAAAATACAATGTAATTTTTTAAAACAAGATATATGGTCTTTCACACAATTTAGCTAAATGAAAACATTTAATACTCAAATGAAATACCCAAGATGTACATGTATTATGCACATCAAAATACAGTATGCAAAGCAACATTCAACATTATGTCTAGCTTTGTACTTAGTAAAAAAGATTATGGTGTTATACATTTGATTAATAAATATAAAATAAAGGAAGTTTTTTTTCTCTTATTTTTGTGCTTCTCATAAAAATTATAAATACTAAGAACATATTTTTAACATAGCAAATCTAAGTACCAGCTTCTAATTTACTGGAAGATACCACTGTGGGCCATTGATATGTTTACAATATCAAATGCATGACAAAAAAAAATAAAAAAATAAGCTAATAAATAGATTATCTATTTTATACACATGTATTCACTATAATGTTTTAATAAATTTCAAATCTCCTAATGGTACTATGAGACTATCATTCACAACAAATAAAGATACCTAAGTGATGTCTACAGTAAATAAATGCAATAAGAACATTAAGTCCCATTTGACTTACCTAGGAGATATTAACAGAGAAACATACAGTACTCAGTGATATTTTTGAGATTGCAATTATAAAAGCCATACAGGAAGATCATAGACTACAATATGGCAACTCGAGGAATAACTATGCACCAGCCATTAAAATCTCTAGTGTATATTTGTGTATACATTTGAGTAAGGATCAGCTGCAATTAATAAGATGAATATCTCATGGTTCTTAAAAAATCTGATTTCAGCTTTATTTAAGGGTAATATTGCAAGCACTGAGTTAAACTGGCACTAGAAAGATTTTACAATATGTTCACATAATAAATATACCTTTCATAAAAATTATGAATTTATGCCCATAAATTAATAAAATGTTTCAAGTTTTAATTCATTCCAAAAAAAAAATTGTGAGTCACATACAGCATGCACAGAAATAAATATTGAATGGTTGCCCAAGAAAAGGCTTAGATCTTAACAAGGTGAATACTAAAGTGTAAGTTTCCTCTTTTAATACATTGATTGTTATGCTAAGTGTATATTTTTTACAAAATCTAAGTAATTAGGTCGAAGTTAAGTGTAAAGTGCGTCATTGTCATTAGCTGAACAAGACAAATATAAAAAATACAAATAAAAAAAACTATGAAGTAAAGGTTCTTAATTAAGGTGGCCAAAAATATTGTAATCAAAGTAATTAATTGAAAAAAAAAAAACATCTTTAAAAAATGTCAAAATTTAAATTAAAAAATCCTTTGCATTATACTTTTGATTCCAGCTAAAGCTGTACTGTTACAAGTATCATTAGGTCAATGTATATTTATTATTAAAATAAATAGTGAATAGATGTATATATGTAAGTAGAAGGGAACTTAAGCTAAAGTAATTGAAGTAATGGACAACATTCAAAATCATAGGGTTACATCATGAATAGTGTCAAATCAAACTCTTGGAAGTACATTATATCAATATCACATTTAGCTCCATATTGTTTGTACAAAACTTTCATAGGAAAAAAAACAACAGAATTTGCATTATAGTAATATTATTTAATGAAATTATCATATTTGTAATTGTTAAACACATATTTATTTTTTATCAAATATAAATAATTTATAGAAAAGCTGATATATAAATGTGACAATAATGCTTATACAAAAAACTTAGCCTTTAAAAAAAATGACATGCCAAGATAAAGAAAAAAGAAAGAAAAAATGTCAAATAGTTTTGATTTAGATGTTAAACAGATCATATGAAAGATAAATCTACACTATGTATCACAAAGCCCCAATAATTTTTACTAAGCTTCAAACATAAAATCCTTTAATAGCACCATAGATAGATATCAATATTTAACACTTAATTATTTTCTTCAATAGATCACTTCCAATTCAAAGACAAACAATAGAAGTAAAAATACAATCCAAATAATAAAAATTCTATTATTGAAAAAAAAAAAATTAGCAATAAAAAAATACCAAATACAGAAAAAGCTTTAATATTATTTTCCAATTAAGTCAAAAAATTGTAAAGTGTAATTAGTTTTTAAATGGCACCAATGCTTTGTGGCAATATAAACCATTAAGAAACATAAACAAGATCATTAACAAAATGGCTAATATCAAAGTTTTGTTTGAATCAAAACACACAGTGCCTTATTTCAAATGGCTTCACACATAGGTCAGCATTTTATTGTCAAGTTCAATCTATTCTTGGTACAATAATATTCAAAACAAAAACTGATTATCAACAAAAACAAGATGTAGAAAACACATGCACACATATTAGAAACATCAAAGTTTGCTGATAGGGTAAGTTATGTAATCTATTATACCGATTTTAGATGGAATATACTATGAGTAAAATAAAGCACCATTTTGATTGTATTATGAAATACTCATCAGTTTATGTTGAGAGTAAAAGTAATTTTTTTTGGATGATGTAACAATTCAACAGTAATAAATACCTAAGAGATCTATCATGAGGAAGACAACATTATTAATATCAAGAGCAAAACAATAAGTAACTTTATTATTCTTGGACTTCTTGTTGATTTGTTTTAAAATATACAAAAGTGATCAAACATAAATGTAGAATCATTTGCATTGTTTTATCAAAAAACCCTTTTGTCATTGTTAATAGCCAATATTAATTTGTAACTTTCTTAGTACAAAAAGAGTCAAATGAAATTGTTTCTTATGTTTACACAATGGAATAATACTCTAAACAACATAACCTGCAGATATCTGACTTCAACATGGTCAAAGTGTGTGAATCTAGGACTAGATTATTCAACTTTGTTGAAAAGATTGGCCTTTTCTTTAAAAGCTTTCTTTCTCTCTTTGGCTTCCTCTGCTTGCTTCTTCTTCTCTTCCTGTTCTTGTCGAATCTCTTGTTCAAATTTACAGCTTTCAGTCTGTTTCTGGATCTGTTTGGTAACCAAAAGAAATGTAAAAATTGATCAAATTTAATTGGGGGCAGTACAAAAGTAAGATATTCAATCTTCACAATGCCTCAACATGACTAGATTATGAAATGTGAGAAGAAAAGTAAATCACTACCTAATATAGAATGAAAAAACTTTAAGTTGGGTAACAATGCAATTTGACTCAGATTTTTGAGTGAACTTTGTGTATTAATTACTCAAAAATACTACTTTTATTTATCTAGAATCAAATTTATATTTTTGGAGAAACTATTGACATTACAAAAACATTATGTATGTAACAGTATGTAATAGGTTTGATCTATTAGTACAAAAACATGTGGTGAAAGAAAAAAATGTGATCAGAAATTTCTGCAGAAAAATTATTTCCTTTTTTAGTCTAGTAGTCTTGCTAAAAAACTATTGTCATTCAATATTAGTAAATGATTCACATTTTAAAATTATTTTTTCATTGTTATTTAAAAAAGATATCTTCCCTCTAATGATGTTCTTTCCAATTAATTAAACTAAACCATCTAAAAAGTAGGTACTTATTTTCTTGTTCCATTGTTTCAAACATAAAATACTTCCAACCTTAGCTTGAAAAAAGTTCTTGGCACCTTTAACACCTTCAACATCAACATCAATTTCATCCATGTTTTTATAGAGTTCATACAAGCCACTGTCTTCCTGAAGTTCTCCAGCAGCTGCTTTGCGAAATATTAACAAAAACTGGTGGAGAAAAAGATTTTTAAGATTTAGTCAAATTCTTGGTTTTCTTTTATGAATGGAAGGGTGACAATAACATTATCCATTACAAAACAAAAATTGAGCTTCATTATTGACTTTAAGCAATGCAATCTCAAAACAAAAATTAAGAACTAAGAAGTCTTTGAAAAGAGATTATTTTCATTGCAATTACTTTTTAATTAACGCATTAATACTTTTTGTTATTACTCCATTATAATAGTTTTAAATCAATTGATATTGAATGAAAATGTGTGCCTATGTCACTGATTACAGGAAGTTAATTTTTATTTGTTTAAAAATTCACTTTGAGCATGTTTAAAATTACTTTTATCAGATGTGCAGGTGTATAAATCAATGGCAAGACCAACATAAAAATAGGCTATAGGAGCTGGTTATCTTTAAAATGCATGAATGAGACTGAAGTGGCTTTTTTTTTTGCTTCCTATATACTAGAGCAGATACAATTAGTTTTCCATACCACAGACTAAAATGAAGGTGTAAAAGTTTCTAATTATTTTTTTTAAATTTTACCTCTCTAAATGAAATTTTGTCATCCAAGTCTTCATCAACTTCTTTAATCATTTGCTTTAGTGAGACGTGAGTCTGAGGGGCATCCAACTTCTCCATCATCAGCTTCAGCTCCATCAAGTCAATGAATTTGTCTTTGCCTACATCATATCTACATATTGAGATGGCTTATTATATATTGTATAATGTAGATTTGCAAATATATAAACACAATTAGGAAAAATCAAGGTTTATAATTATTTATAGAGATAGCATGATCAACAAATTATAAATGATTTTTAAGTTGTAAAGAAACGAAAACAAAATTATTTTTCATGATGTCTACACTAAAGTCTAGAGCTATAAATCTATTAAGATCTAATAATATTAATACTTCTTAATAGTATAAATATTTAATTAATAGATATAGATTATTATTATATTATTTATATAGAAGATTAATAGATTTCTATAATAGAAATAGACTAGAGTCACTAGACTTACTAGTACTTAGTGTAGTGTAGACTCCAGAATAATCTATAGATATATTTAAAATATTATATATAGATCTAATTTCTAATTAATCTGGGACTAAAAGTATATAGTAGAATAAGTGACTAAGTCTAGTCAATCTAGATTACTTTACTAGACTCTAGATCTATAAATATATAGAATAAACTTTAGAAGTTATATAATTATAAAATAAATAATATATATATTATTATATTAATTATATATATAATATATATATTTTATATATTATTATGCTAACAAATACGCTGTACCATACTCTGGTCTGGAAATAAAGTCTAACTTACTTATTAAAGGTTTTCTGAAAGTCTTGAATCTGCTTTCGGCTAAATTCTTTGAATTCCGTATAAGGGTTAAAAACATTACTGGTTGGAAGAGGGGGAGCTCCCTCTTCGCCCTCATTAATTAGATTTCTGCGATTAAGTTTTGCTGCTAATTCGTCTGTTGCGGACATTCCCGGTGTGAATAAAGTTTATAAAGTGAATCGATTGATAATATCTTAAGTGCACATGAAAAAAAAAAGCAACATAGACTAAACCTAGAGATATTGTTGATAGATCTAGATGCGCTGCTTTTTATTTACGTCTAGTCTATATCGATCTAGATGCTTAGATCTAGATCTAAGTATGGTAATATATTTCCTTGTAGATCACACCTTTAACTCATTTCCTTGTGTATCACGTGGTTTTACTTCCGCAATCTTTTGTTGATTCAC